CACCAGCTTCTGGGCTTTCTCCTCCACTTCTACCTCCAGCACTTTATTCCCTACACGCTCTGCCAGGTCTGCAGCTCCCCTTTCCCTGGCTCTTCTTCCTCCTCAGAGGCACGCCGCCTCGGCCACCTGCCAGGATCCTGACTCAGAGCTGCTCTGTCCACAGCTGTCATTCCAGCGCCTTCCTCCCAGTACACCTGAGCCACGTTCACGCTCATGGAATCCACGCCGGCCTCTGGCCAGTCATTCAGCAAACACCTTAGAGATTTAGCACCGCCAACTGCCATCCCCTTGCAGTGCCTCAGTAACATCCCAAGGCCTTAGTCCCTCAGACACTCCTGCTCCACAGGGCTGAGGTTCTGCTCCTCCGAGGCTCTGGCCAGTCCTGAAAGCATCTATCAACAGGTCCATGTCTTACCTTGTCTACAGCCTCCTTCTCCTCCACTTGTTCTTTCTTCTTTCTTTGGTCTTGCCAAGTTACTCTATTAGGCTTTTTTTTTTATACTACTATAATACTTTTTTTAAATACTACTACTATTTATGATTTGCCATGAGGATGACAAGCCATTACTACCTGTCCACCCACCGTGAATCACGACCGTTCCACAGAACCAACGTTCTCCCTCCTTGCCCCAGGGCCCCACAGGTCTGTATTATCCCCAGTTGTCTCCATCACAAACCCACGTACGAAGAGGCTCACAGCCCTGCGGCTTTCCGTTCTTCCTAGTCTTGCATTCCCGGTTCCCAGCTGGATACTTCGGGATCTCCTCTGGCTTGCTCTCCTCACCTGATCCCACTTTCAGTTTCTAGAGACACTTGCCTGCAAGCTAATCTGAAGTGTTTGTAGTCTGAATGTTGGGATCATTTGGGCTGTTTCTGAGTCAAATTCAAGGTCCCTCTCAGTCTGGGTTGAAGGGTTTTGCGCATCAGTGGTATGGCTGGTGGTGTGTCCTCAAAGGTGACTGTCACACAAGCATCTTGGGCTGGCAAACCTGGGGTTGGCTTTTCTCCCATCTTTTATGTCTAGCTTCTGGTGGTTTGACCTTCTCAAACTACCAATTAATCCACTATTTTAAGAAACCTGCTCAATTTTACTGTAAATTAACTGGCTGGTAGTATGTCCATTCTCAAAGGTGACTGTAACCCAATAAAGTTTTATTTTGCCTACCAGGTCGTGACTATAGACAAATAATCTCTCTGGCAGCAGGACTTCTCGCTCCTAAGATAGTCTGGCTCAGACAGCTGTTCATTCTTTCCACATGAAAATTATGATTCTGTGATTTCTTTAAAAAAAAAAAATAGTTCTCAGATTACCAAGAAGTGATGCACCCAGGACATTTTGCTAAATAACCAGTTCAAAACAGTCCTCTCCACTGGCTTTTGCAGTTAGAATTACTAGCATAACATCAGTCCCTGTAAGGATGCAGAAAAGGACCCTTAACGTAGCTTTCTGATCACTGTTGCCCAACACACTCAGAAAAATGACAAGAACCGTCACCCCTCAAGTTCACAAGCCTACACACCAAGCTGCTGCCGCCTCTTGCAGACATAAGAACCTGCCTGATCATTATCACCACAGGAGACGTGAACGGGACAAACAGAAGGCTCAGCTCGAAGCTAATTTTAATGTTAACACATGAAAAATAACCACGGCAACGAAGCCATTTGCTACTTGTTCCGGACACCTGAGCAAACATGTGGAGAAGACGGGGCCATTTCTTAACTCACAGTCAAGCATATTAATTATGAAGCCAAGACTGGTGAAAAGAATGAGACGGTAAAGGCAACGTGCAAGCTGGAAGGAAGAGCTGGCTACAAAATGAAGGCAGAATTCTACACCACATGAAAGAGTCCTGGCCAGTCCGCAGCCATCACAAGCTGTCTACCTGCTGAAGCCAGGGCTTTGCTTGTCTCAAAATGAAGACAGCAAGCTACAGTCAGTTCCAAGACTACCTGATAAAACTCAGCCAAGAAGCCTTTTGAAGGGTCAAGTCCCTCCCCTGGAGTTTCCTCTGAAGAAAAATGTCTGACATATGACTTACACCTATGGACTTCAAAATGTTTAACTAGCAACCTGTTTTCTTTTCCTTTCTTTTTCCTTTTTGGTTGTTGTTTTGTTTTGAGACAGGGTTTCTTTGTAGCCCTGGCTGTACTGAACTCTCTTTGTAGACTAGGCTGGCCTCAAACTCACAGAGATCCACCTGCCTCAGCCTCCTGAGTGCTGGGATTAGAGGCTCATGCCACCACCGCCCAGCAAGCAACCTGTTTTCATATCAGAGAAACATTTAAAATGTTACCAGCTGAGGGAAGGCTGTGAGACAGCCTAGCAGTTAACAGCACGCGCCTCCAGGCTTCAAGGCCAGAGCTCAATCTGGAACCGATGTGCTGGAAAGAGAATGACTCCATGGAGTTGGGCTTTCCACCCTGTGTACTGTGGCATGGCCGTCGCCCTCCCTCTCCACACCAACAGGGTAAAATAAAACTACTTTCCGAAGAGATATACACTGGGATCTGTATGTAGCTCTAACACTCTGCTGTTCATTAAGCAAGAAAACTTGGCAATCGAAGCCTATTCAATCAAATGCCAGGTACCTATGCAGGCATCTTAATTGCATTGTAGTCAGTGAAATCAGTGAGTGGGGAACAAATTTCAACCATCATTTAGCCAAAAGAAGAATGTACATTTATAAGAGGCTTAAAAACCCTCAAGCATCTAAAAAAAAAAAATCAGAAAAGCAGTGGGGTCCTGGGTAGCTGAAGACTCAGCTAGATGCTTATGATTGATTCAGCAACTGGTATGTCCCAAAAAGGAATTTGTTTTTCTATAGTTTTACATAAAATCTGCCACAAACTTTATCACTTTTTTTTTTTCTAAAGAAAGACTTAGGAAAGCATACTTTCAAAATAAATAAAGCCTCTTGTTTTAATGTTTCCCAATAATTTTTTTTCCCTTCTAGGCTCAAAAAGCAAAATTATTCCATTGAGTATTTGTGTTTAACTTCAAATCAGGTTAAAAAACAAAATAAACAAACAAAAAAAAATTGGTGATTAGTTTTTAATTCATCTCCATTTCCATTAGAGATCACTGTTAAAAAAAAAAAAAAACTAGAACATTCTATGGTGCAGACTGTAAAGATTTACCTTAGGCCCTAATAGAACAGAACTTGTCCACTTTGGCCATTTCCCCTTCCTGCTGGGTTGTCTTACAAGCTTTGGTACAGGAAACCACTCACAGAATTCAGAAATCCCACACGGCTCCTACTACTCACATCCAGTCACCTAAGTCAGTCTTTAAAATTAAAAAATTGGCATTAATATAGCAGAAATGAACCATCTCTCAAATCCGAGCCAGCACCATGAGTGGCTGCTACACCTGTGACCCTAGCACTCTTAGAGCTGAGCTACATTTGTTTATAAAGGCATCCAGTCTGTCATGGGTTCCAGCTGAAGTGGAATGGCTAAGTTTGAAAAAGAAAAGCTTAGGTATGCCCGCTGTGCCCTTCCCTGCCAGCTGCGTTAAGAGCACGGCAGTGGTCAGGGACAACTGAGTTCAGAAGCCTAGGCCTCCAGAAAGGGAGGCTATCTGAATGAGGTGTCTACACTCGACAGTCTCGTCAGAGGGCCCTGCTGCTAACCTAGGCCACTTCTGAGCAGACTGACCTACCAGAGAATGAACAGGCGCCATCTTAACACCAGACAGGCAACAAACTCCACCAGCGCACAGCTGGGGCTAAAACCCTACAGCACACTTCCTCCTAAAAAGTCTCAACTGCTTTTCGACTAAGCCAATGCTCCTTCATCTGGTTACCACAGCTCAAGATGGAATCATACCAGCTCTTAACTACACAGTCTGATGGCGACTGAAAAGGCCAGAGCTTTGAGCAGCCTGCTGTTAAGATACTTCACTGAAGTGCCAGCTCTCAGGAAATTACTAAATACTAGGACACCAGTGAAATGAATGCTCAAGTTCATATTTTGAAATACTACGGATTTCAAAGTAGACTTTGGACACGAATATTCATTTAAAATTTCCCTTGGGGGCCCGAGCTGAGAAAATATTTAAACTACAAAATACCATGATGCCAACCAGCAGCTTTAGTGGCATAACAGAAAACAGTTAACAAGTTCCTCCCCATTACACCTTGACTGACAGGCAGAGCACTGCTTAGAGATGAAGAACACACGAGAAACCACCCAGCAGAAAGCTGGGTGGCTTCCGGTGCCCTAGGTTCGAATTACCACCATTCCCGTCCCCAATGCTGACCCATGAGCCAGGATGGGCCTCCAGATGGGCCCGGTGGGTGGAGACCTTCCCAACAGCCCAGCTCTTAAGATGAACTGCTAAGGTCTGCAAACAAAGCACAAGATACAAACGTCTACAGACCTCATGACTCTCAGGTCCATAGTCATCTGACCAGCCCCAATCATAAGGCATTAAAATATTGAGAGTCCTCCCACATGAAGCTTCCGGCCTACAGGACACTGAATGCAGCTGGGCAATGCCCATCAGGGAAGGGGCAAGGCTGCCTGCCCCAAGAAGGTTCCTGGGATAGCTCTCTGGCACACGAGCTCTTTCTTTGGCACATCCTAACTGTGAAAATGTTTAAGGTGGCAGTTCCAACGGTCCCTAGCATGTTTACCTTACTAAATCATTTTAAGTCCCACTGTTCAAGACTAACCTCTGGACAAGCATGGAGTGAAGATAAATGCTTTTAAAAACACAGTTCTGCCTCATTTCAAGATACCTATGACATGCATAAAACTCATACTAACAAAGCGGGAACATAAAACAGCTTCGCTTTACAAAGTAACCCACTTGGTTATTTCATGAGACAATCCAGCCCATAAAATTTTGACTAAAGCACCTTCCAAGAAACATTCCATTTAAAACTTGAAGTCACCTGTGCCTGCACTTTGTCACTTAAAGCATGAAAAGGTTAAATCAAATAATAATTCCACAAGAGTACAGGCTAAAAAAAAAAAAAAAAAGATGAAGTCAAGAGCCGGTTTCATGAATTAATATATTTTCTGCATTGTAGTTAACATATATGTACTTTATGGACTTTCTTTGCGCCACCTTGTTTCTCATGAAGTAGTGATATGTTATATTCAGACATGAGTACATTTCAACAGTCTTTTGCAATAAATATCATAAAATAATAGAGATTCGCATAATAAATATTCTTTACAATAAAAAAGTTTAACAAACTTTTGTCTTAAAAATAGCCAGGATTCAACTTTGTGATTTATACATAAAATATACAAAAAAAGCACCACAATCTGTGGTTAAGGCAATGACAACACAGCTAGGACTGGAGCTACTCAGCTGTTAGGAGTCAAAGGGCCAGTCAGGAGCCAAGGGCACCACCTTTGGGAGCGGGGAGACACCCAGGGGAGGGTGGAACAGGAACTTCAACTACAGCTACCAAGTGCCTTCAGTGAAGTGGGGATGTGAAGGGAGGCCCTTCACAGATACCAGGTGCTGGAGGAGGAACAAGGAGGTTTAGCCAAGAACATCTCTGATGAACACCAACACTGCACAGTGAATCCAGAACTATGCCAAAGGAGTGGGGCGGGGAGGACCCCCTGCCATCTCCACAGCGCACTGAGGAGAATGCCGAGGGCCGGAAGGGGAGGGCAGCGAGTGGGTGCGGGGGTAAGTGCGCCCTACCGAGCAGATCCTCTCATTCGCCTGGGAGGAGGACGCTAAAATAGCTCTCATCGGAGGCAGATTAATATATAGCTTATTTAAGCACTTACATGGTTACTTTTTTAAAAAACCAAATCAAGTCCATGATCCCACAGTACCCGACCCCAAACAGCTCTCAGCCAAGTCTGGGCATGCGTACATCTTCTCGGACGCAGCTGGAAGGCTGACGCAGCACACAGAGGCTCCCAGAACCCTCGAGGTGGGGTGAGAACGAGCTGGGCGCAGTTTCTCGGTCCACTCCTACTGGGGGTCATCCAAGACAGAGAAGAAAAATCTGCCTCTCATACCGCATCTCTCAACAGCCACAGTTCCCAAGCTGGGCGACATTCAGGAGGTCCACCCACCTCCAGAAGTCATGACAGCTTGCCCTGAGCCCTGGAGGGGCAGCTCTCCAGCTTACAGTAGACAGTGTTGGAGTTTCTACACCTGCAGCCGGGGCGGTGGGTCCAGTCGTAACAGCCCCTGCACAGCTTCAGGCAGCCCTTGGCAGGGGGATAGCAGAGCAGACAGGGCAGGCACAGGGACAGCGCTCCCATGCACAGGTATCTGGAGCAGCAGTGGGACTGTGAACAGGAGCACGGGTTATCCGAGTAAGAGCCCCCGTCGTCGTCGTTGGAGCAGTGGTAGAAAATGCCCTTCACCAGGCACATGCAGGTCCCGTACTCCACCATGCTCTCCGCGGAGCAGAGGCACTGCCGGTCGCAGGCCAGGCAGGAGGGCAGGGCCCGGGGGGCCGTGCACTCCCCGCACTTGCACTTGCCACACTGTTCGCAGATGAACTTGTGCTGGGTGGGGTCCTCTTTCAAGGAGCCCTTCAAGTCATCCGCCAGCAGCTGCTTGGGTTGAGTCCGGATGACCCTATCTGACCTATGACCCGGGATGGGCCTGGTGGGCGGAGACCTTCCTAATAGGCCCTGCTCGGAGGACGCACTGCTGCTGCTCCCTGAGCTGGCTGCGCTTCCGGTGCTGGTGGACCTGCTCAGCACCGAGCCCCTGGCGTTGCCCAAGTGGCCGGCAGGTCGGTGCTCGTAGCTGCTATTCACATTGGCTGGTATGATTTCATGAGTCCTTTCCTGCTTTTCGGGTCTTGGTGCAGTTCGAGGGGGCGGTCTTCTCGCTACCGAAGGCCCCTCTGTGTATTCATTGCTGCCTCGGATGGCTTTGATCTGGTCTAGGGACAGAATGGTAGCAGGCTGAGTGTCCCTGTCACAGTCTAATCTCTGCCGGCCTTCCAGAGCCGGGGGCTGGGCCACCACCAGGGAAGTGTGGCTGCCACGCTGACTTGGGGAATCCATGTGGGGTGGTCTCCAATTCCGGCAGTCAGCCGAAACCTGGCATGCATCGGAAATCCTAAAGAAGAGCGAGAGAGAAAATAAGGCAGGGAAAGCATTTTGGGGAGAGGGGCTCCTTTCAAGCAACAAAGTTCCCAAGCCATTTGGTAATGACCTCCCTCCTCAACTGATTTCAATGATGCGGCATCCTGGCTGGCGTCCAACTCCCAAAAAGACTGTAGAGGACCACATCACAGGAAGAAGGCAAAAGACCTCATGCCGTAAAAATTGGAAGTTGCTCTCCGGCATCTAAAAAGCAGAGGAAGTCATGTCTTCCTGTTTGCAAACCTAACAAATAATTAAAATGAAATATGCCTTCAGAGGGAGCATTCCGTGTGTGCTCTGGAACTGTTCTTAGAGTTCACTGATAGTTCACTGGCAGTTCACGTAAGGAAAATGTCAGCTACTTTTTAAAGATTAAGAATGGCTTTGGTGCTGTGGCCTCTTGGCCGTTTGTATGCTGTTAGGAGCTTCAGATTAATGAGAAAATTAATCAAGGCAATTTCCAAAACACTGGCTACTCGGGGCTCACGTGGACTCTCCAAAGAGCTAGCTCATCACAGATCTGAGAGATGAGCAAAGGAAGCTACGAAGAAGGCAGCGGCTCTGGCACACAAACAACTCAATGTACCATCTGGATGTAACTTTCTCTAAAACTTAAACAAGACTCACCAACACAAGAACAACTTTTAGGCAGTGTCAGGCCTTTAAAGCAAGGGCAGGAACCCTGGTCTCTTTTGCATTATCCGCATTTCCTTTTATTCATCTACATGAGCCCTGAATCGACCTGCTGTTTGCAATAAAATAAATATCCTGATATCACAAACACGTTTCCACGTCAAGAAGAAATAACTTCCAATTTACAACATATTCTTCCTAAAACAGACCAAACGCAGACGTTTCCGTTTCCGGGAATTAGGTATCTAGGATATTTTTTCACACAAATGCCTTCCAAACCCACAGATGCACCTTAATTCAAGAAATCACCCTCTGGACTTCCCTGGCGCCAAGCGGGGGGCCGGGCGGGGTGGGGGGAGTCTTAAGGATTGAGGCAGTTTGCTAACTTATGTCCCTAGACTACATATATGTTAGCTTCCTGGAGGCCCCTCTAGTTTATTCTACCTTCTCCGCACACGAGAAGCACATCCACAACAGCACGTTTTAGTACCGAAGCCCTAAACGATACTGGAAAACTGCCAATCGTTACTTCTGTGCCGTATCTATTTTAAAAAAAAAAAAATTTTTTTTAAACTCCAAAACGAAGACTTTAAACGTGCCAAGTCTCATCCACAAGAAAGGAAGACGTGGGAACGGCTTGAGTAATGAAACCCCCAGGCACGGCTTTTAATTCGCATTTTTACAGGGCATTCCCAAGCAAGTTCGCTCGGGCGGAGCACCGAGGCGCCCCGGAGCCGCCCCAGACTGAAGCCCGAGCGCGCGGGCAGCACCGCCGGGCGCTTGGGCCCCACGCCGAGGCCTCAGGGGCACCGAGGCGCGACAGGTCCGGCGAGGGGGGGGAAAGTTATGAATGAAAGCGGCTCGCGGGCGGGAGGAGGCAGCGCCCTCTCCCCGCGTCGCGCGGCACTGCGCCCGGGGCACAGGCGGCCGCCGGGTCCCCCCCAGCGCCATCGGGTGCCGCGCGCTCGGCACGGGCTGCGCGACGACCGCCCGGCCCGGCCCGCCCCGGCCCGCACCTGCCGCCCGCACTC